GAGCGGTTGATTGGGAGGAGTCAGTGCCAGAGGGAGGCGGCGTGCCCTTTCTGCTCTGCCTATGCTGTGAGGACACCAGGCTGTGCCTTCGCCAGGAGGAAATCATGCCAAGCCCAAAGCATCAGGCCGCTCGGAGCCAAGCAGCTTTGCTGGAGCACCCACTGGTGCCCTTAGAAAGTGATTTCTCCTGTTGAAACCTCGCTGCCACCTCACCTGGAAACAAGACAGTAGGAAGCCACCTCCCCAGGTATGTGGGGACCTGGCACCCGTGCGCCGAACCTCGCTGTCCTTGGTCAAGATTGTTGAGTTGGGCGGCAATTGGAAGGGTCCTGTGGCATGCTCCTCTGGGGACCTTCTGCCACCCCTGGAGACAGCTCGCGCCCCTGCCCATCTCTCCCCACCAGTGCACACTCCCCCCAGCCCTGGCCCAGCTGCGGGGCCCTCCCCAGTAGGCTCTGGCTGTTCCAGGAGGCATGAGAGTGTTGCCGTAGGACCTGCCCACTGCTCGACATCCCCCAGGGAGAGCCTGCTCAGGCCACGCACGGGCTTCTGGCCAGACAGATCAGTGGGGAAGAGTTCCCTGGCAGCGCTGCTGCCAGCGGGGGCTGGTGAGGGTGGCACTGCCATGGAGAACACGCCTTGATCTCTGACTTGAAAGGCAGCATTCTTCTGGAACTTCTGTGGGGAGTGCCCAGAGTGGCACCTAAATGTCCAGAAGCGTTTGATGAAAGTTCATCTGAGGCTTTTAAACTGCTCGAGTGAGTCTCTCTGAAGCGCAGTGATGGCAAAAGGAAACCACCTCGAGCTGCCTGCCTGCAAATTCTCTCCTCGGCTCCCGTGGGCTGTGAGGTGTTCCCTGTCAGGAATTTACGCGGAGGCGTGTCTGCTGTGGCCAAATGTGTTCATTCATTCATAGCTCACGGTAAGAGGGAGGGATGGGGGAGGAAGACTGCAGTATTTCCTTAAAAGTTTTTCCGTAACTCGAATCCCTCCCATCCCCGTGAGGTAACATCATCTTTTCCAGTTGGCGACAGTGAACTCTGTTTTGGGTACCTACAAAAGCAGAAGGGGTGGGTAGGGTGTGGCCGGAGGAGGCTGGTGCCTGGGTGTGAATCCTGGCTCTTCCGCTTGAACTCACTGTGCCTCAGCGTCCTTGTGTGTTGGATGGAGCCGCCTCACGGGAGCAAGCGAGTTGTGTGTGTGGAGCAGGTGGCTGATGTGCGGCGAGTCCTCCAGGAATGCGGCCGCAGCAGGAGCACTTTGGGCACCGCAGATACAGCCCTGACCACGCTGCAGGGCTTCCGTGTGGGGCCATGCACATCCACCGCTTCAAGACAGCATGGGAGCTGCCGGAGGTGGGGGGCTGGCTCAGGAAAAGGGCCATGCTGCCAGGGGTGGGAAGGCAGTCAGTGAAGACTTCCCGGAGGAGCCTGAGATGAGAAGTAGTTAGGTAGCCAGAGACAAGGCAAAGAAGGGCTATTTTCCTCAGAGAACAGCATAGCATTGGCAGAGGTCCGACATGTCATTTCCTATTGCAGAATTGGGGAGTGCCCAGTAGGTTCTTTCGTTTGTTTGTCATTCATCCAGTCTTTCACCTCACACCTGTTCAGGGTCCGGCTGGGTTCTGGACATGGGGTGGAAGATAGCCATCTGAGCAGAGGCTGCTTGGACTGTCACCTCTGTCGGGGTTGCCATGGGTGCCAGAGGACAGCTGTTACTTATGGGTGGCGGCGTGGTGGGGTGGCACAGCACAGAGCTGCCCTGCTGTGCTCACACCCGGTGCCTCCCTGCGGTCACCACGTGCCTTGGGCAAGTGTAGGCCTCAGGTCCCAGATGCCAGTTTCTGTCAGTGGTGGTGGTGGTGGCCATACCCACTCTGGTCTGCTGTGAGGGAGGGACGGGCTCCAGCCACAAACATTTACCTTGCAGAGGACCTCCTGTACCTGCTGAGAATGGGCACAGCCATCTGGAGGATGTTCTCCCCTTGGCCCTCCCTGTTCCAGCCAAGTCCACAGCCTTCAGCTCCTTTTATAATTATTCCTTTCTCACAGAGCCTTGTCCTGGAGCTGCGGATGGGCCCTGGTTCTGCCTCCCATGTGGTGCCGGTCCTCCTCCACCATGCACGATGGCGTGTTTCCCGTTATTCTTCCTCCTTATACGCATAGCCTGAAGGCAATTTTGTGTGCAGTTTAAAAAATATTTTGTGCATGAAATAAAGTTTTGACTGTGACCTGTCACGTGAGGTCATTTGGGGAATTTCTTCTTGTGATGGTATGTAGGTACTCAGAAAGTTTCAGATTTTGGGGCAGTTTGGATTTTTGGATTAGGGTTGCTCAACTTGAATGTCCTTTTATCTACAGCATATGGTCAGTGCTCACTAAACGTATTGCATGAATGAATGAAAACCAAAGGTCATTTAGTAAGCATGTTACTATTTCAGAAGTCTCTTTTCTGAAATTGATTATATGGTCAATGGTTCAAAATTTCAAGTGCTCTGACCACATAATGGTTATTACCATACTGTGAAGGTAGCTGAGTGTTCAGTGATTGCTGCCCACAGAGGACCTGGAAGTGCTTGCTGCGCTTGCATGTTTTGGAATGGAAATCATGGCTCATTCCCAAGAGCCCCTCAGCAGGGGCTCTGAGCCTGGTGCTAAGCAGCAGATGTGCAGATTCCTGCAGGGCGTACCTGAGCACTGAGAGGGGGCGTCATATACACATCACACTCGTTTCCGCATCCCTACCCCACACAGCCAGTGGTCACAGCCATCCTCCAGTAAAAACCACAAAGCAGTCAACCTTTAGGAAACAGGTAGGAAATCTAGAAAAAGCCTCAGGTGTTTACAGCATTTTTAAAGGTTGTTAAAAAAAAATCTTTGTGATTGGAAAGCCTGCTTCCTGTGCCAGGGAGACTCTCTCCAGCGCTTTTGCTTCTGAGGTTGGTAGCTTTCAGAAAGACTGCAATGCAGCGGTTACCAAAGTCCTTGTTAATATGGAAACAACCCGTGGCGAAGCCTTTTGCTCCCCTTCACAACTGCTGACTGCTGCCTGCAGTCTGAAGGAGGAGATAATGAAGGCAGTGATCCTCCGGGCCTGGCAGTTTAGTGATTAGAACGTGCGCGATTCTGTGAATGCTGTGGCTGGCGCAGGCATGTCCTGCAGCAGCTCTGTCAAGTTACTGATGCAGTCGGCTTCTTCCTGGGAACGCGAAGCCGAAGATGTCTTTGCAGTTTGTGCACAATAATTTTGTTTTCATCTCTCTGTTCAGATGACGGATTATAAGAAGGTAACGGACTTTAGAAATCATGCATATATGTATTTTAAGTGTTTATGAATATCCCTAGCCAAGGTAATGAATTATGATTGAATAGATCTCTTTCGAACCTAAGAAATAAAACTTTATTTCTTGTTAATGACAGTTTTGACAATTGAAGAGTTATCTTATTTCATGTTGACAGATGCCCTCTAAGGGAATTATTGAAGATGTTCTTTGAAGAGATCTGCTTTCTCTTGGATTTACTAAACATAGTTGAATTTCAGAGATGTAGATACGGATATTTTGTTTCTTTAACTTAAGCAAGGACAGTTTCATTAATCTGGATGGAACTTTTCATCTTACAAAATCTCAACCACCAGCTGTAGATGATGAATTCTAATCTCCTTAGTTCTTATTTTGCCTTCAGAAGAGCATTTTCGGATGTGTGGAGCTTTGTGCTTATCCATGGGGTGAGCTGGGTGCTACCTCCAGCTGCTGCTCTTTGTTTATCTTAGAGGGAGTCCAAGAGTCAGAGCTGAGATTTATTTTGCAATGAATTAGTGGCCCCAAACTGTATTAAATGCATTATGGGTGGTAATTTATATGTCCAATGCCAAGAAATATAATGTTGGGGTTACCATGGCAACTGCTTGCATTCTGAAAAGCTTGTGAATGGGTTCTGAACCTTCTGGCATTGGAAGTGAGCTTTCCTAGCCGAGAGCCTGCATTCGCGATTTGTGTAAATAAATTTGGCTTTCCATATGAAGCGCATCCTTTCTCTTCGTTTACCAGAGTAGCCCGTTGAGCTCAGTTCTTTCTCTGGCAACGTCTGCCTTGGTGTCGTGCTTCCTGGCAACAGACTATGGTTGAGACATAGTTTTCAACTTCAGGCCGAGGAACTAGCCTGTGTGTGTGTGCTGGCCTGCCACCTCAGTCTGCAGGCTGTGAAGAAGGGGGCTGGCTCATCGTGCCTCCCGAGGCCTAGCAATGCATGAGGTCTCCAAAAGCACAGTTGCAGCCCCATGTGCTGGGGGGGTCCTGGCACAGCTTCCTGTTCATCCAAAGGGTTTGTTTCCAGTAACACACATGCTAGGGCTCTTCCTGGGAGGCAGCCCTGCCTGTTTCCAGGATATCATGGAGATTCGTTTTGGGGATGGAGGCCCAGGTTATAAAGACCCATGTTTAAAATGTCAGGCTTATGAAAATAATAAACGAGGGCCTATTGTCTTCATTGCCGAAGGTCTGTTTGCTGTTGGTTAGAAATATATGTAGCATAGGCCGGGCATGGTAGCTCATGCCTGTAATCCCAGCACTTTGAGAGACCAAGGCAGGAGGATTGCTGGAGTCCAGGAATCCAAGACCATTCAGGGCAAAATAGTGAGACCTCATCTCTATAGAAAAATAAAATAAAGAAAACTAGTCTCCCTCGTGGATTTAAAACAATGTTGATGTCTTGATTGCCTGGGACTGAAATGTCTGTGATTTCAGGGGCCTGAGGTTGGAAGGTTGGAGCCTGGTGTTGCTGCCAAGGTGGCAGCTCCTAGAGGGCCTGGCTAGGCTCTGGGAGAATGTTTTCACCCTCTGTGGAATTCATTCTCTTTGTTAATAAATATTCAGATTATAGAGTTTAAATGTCGAGCTTGAAGATAGACTGGACTTCAGGCACACAGTGGGCATGTTGCTGTGGCTCACCTGTAGGCCTCAGTTACGAATCTTTGTCTAATCCAATCCCTTTATTTTACAGATGAGGAAAATGAGGCCCAAAGAAGTAATGCCACTTGGTTAAGGTCCCAGAGCAGGTCAGAATCAGATCTAGGATCAGAAACCTGGCTCCTGGCTCCTGGCTCTCTACTCTTCTAAGGATCGCTGTCCTGACAGAAGCGGTTTGCTCTCAGTGCATGTTGTTTTTGCTTTCCTTTTGTCAGAAAGAGGCCTGTAATAACAACAGGCATCTAATTTAGACTGTGATTTAGAATTTTTAAAATTCCTGTCTTCACTTCCTCTGATTATTTATTGAATTTCCACTCAGTGTGCTGGAGTCACCCACGAGAGGGGCAAACGGCATGACCTCTGCCCTTAATGCTGTCTGCTGTGATGAGAGATGGGTGCATAGCCGAGCCCGCAGACTGGGATGTCGAGATAAATTCTGGCTTGACACCTGCATTTCTGCCTGTCTGTGGTATTCTGTGTTCTTATAGAGAAGCTGCAGTGCCCAGCAGTTACCCTGGGGCAAATCTGAATCACCACCTATTAAGTCAGGGTCATGATACTGTATTTACTAAGGCAGGGCAACATAGTAATTTAGACTCAACTTACAAGTTGCAACTTATTACAGGTAATAGTAATAAGAGGTTCGCCTTGCAAGGGTTGAAATACAAATTGATTTTTTTAGCCAGATTCCATTGAACCCTGGTTGTTGATTTTCCAATCTTGAAAGAATACTGAGATTTTATTGTAGAACTCACGTAGGGTGCCATTGTGTTTTCCTAAGTATTCTCAGTGATTTCTCCCATTCTCCATATTCTTCTCGCATGGGACTTTGACAAAGAGGTGTGCCTGGGCTGGGTGTGTGGCCCCCCTCACCCAGCAGTATGGCACAGTGGAGCTATGTGACTTCTGAGCTAGGTCATTACAAGGGTGCAGTTTTTGCCTGGATTTCTTTTTGGGGTCCTTGTTTGCCATCCATACAGTGAGGAAACCCATCTAACCCACACAGAAGGACCACACAGTGAGCAGGGCATTGACATAGCAAGGTGACTTCGTTTTCTGAGTAACCTCCACTACAGTGTTGAAACTGTATCCCTTAGCTCAGCAGGTGGAGGTAAAAGATTTTTCAAAGAAAAGGTTAATGTAGGCTCTTGGTTGACCACATGGTGAAGAGAGGCCCCTGGCTCGTCTGAACTGTTGCAGATAGAGCATGGAGTGCTGGGACCTTCAGTCAGGCCAGGTCCTGCTGCCTCACTGTCCTGCTCTCCCAGGTGCTCCTGGCCTGCCTTGCTCCCTGGCCCAGTGCTGCCTGCTGCCCTTTCATGGGGTAAGCTGCTTTCTCCCAGCCCCAGCCATCGGTCTTGTTGCTCAGAATGCAAGAGCCTTTCTTGGCTTAGAACTTTAACTCAAAACCCTCAGTTTTTTTTTTTTAATTTTCTTTTTTTTGAGATGGAGTTTTGTTCTTGTTGCCCAGGCTAGAGTGCATTGGCACAGTCTCGGCTCACTGCAAACTCCGCCTCCCCAGCTCAAGCAATTCTGCTGCCTCAGCCTCCCAAGTAGCTAGGATCACAGGTACGTAGTACCACACCTGGCTGATTTTTTTTGTATTTTTTTTTTAGTAGAAATGGGGTTTCACCATGTTGGCCAAGCTGGTCTCCAACTCCTGACGGCAGGTGATCTGCCCGCCTTGGCCTCCCAAAGTGCTGCTATTAGAGGCGTGCTGGGCAGTTTTATCATTCATCATCGGGGTAGTTTGGTTTATTATAACTTGCAGCTTCATACCTTATAAAACAAATTCATTTCTTGCTTTCAGATTTGCTTACCTAAAAGTTCTATTCATAATAGTAACTTAGCACAAGGCTTCTAATATATGAGTTGATGAAAAGCAGCTCCTGTATCACCTTTAATAAGGATAATTTTGAAGTGTAATTTAATGCCTGGAAGCCAATTGGTACTGAGGTTTAATTTTGTACTTGGAAAAGAAGTTCGAGAAGAAAAGTATCCTTTTTTTCCTTAAATTTATTTTTCTTAGTTGACTTATAAAATTGTATATATATTTATCATGTACAGCATGATATTTTGAAGTATATATTATGGAAAGGTTAAGTCTAGCAAATTAGCAAGTGTAAAGATAAACTCAATAGTTATCTTTTTTGTGGTGAGAACACTTTACATAACTTCATTTTTTTTTTTTTAAACATAAAATCATTCAGAAAAGTCATCTACTTTCTTAGCATTTTTCAAGAAGAAAAGTATCTTTTTAACAAATACATTTTCCAAGCCCTGGTCCGTAACCCACTCTTGTTCAGTTAATATTTATCAAGCACTGGCTGGGCGCAGTGGCTCACGCCTGTAATCCCAGCACTTCAGGAGACTGAGGCGGGTAGATCACCTGAGGTCAGGAGTTCAAGACCAGCCTGGCCAACATGGTGAAAGCCTGTCTCTACTAAAAATACAAAAATTAGATTGACATGGTGGTGGGTGACTGTAATCCCAGCTACTCGGGAGGCCGAGGCAGGAGAATTGCTTGAGCTCTGATGATGGAGATTGCAGTGAGCTGAGATTGTGCCACCGCACTCCAGCCTGGGTAGCATAGTTAGACTTCTCCTAAAAAAAAAAATAAATAATTGGGTGTGCATACTGCCCATAGCAATTTACAGACTCAGTGCGATTCCTGGCAAATTACCAAGGACCTTCTTCACAGAACTAGAAAAACACTGCTTTAAAATTCATATGGACCAAAAAAGAACCCAAATAGCCAAGGGAGTCTAAGCAAAAGAACAAAGCTGGAGGTATTCTGTTACCCAACTTCAAACTATGCTATAGGGACGCGGCAACCTCACAGCATGGTATGGTGCAAAAGCAGACACCAGTGGAACAAAAGAGAGAGCCCAGAAACAAGGCCACACACCTACAACCATCTGATCTTCGTCAAAGCTGACCAAAGCAGCGGGGAAAGGACTCTCTATTCAATCCGTGGTGCTGGGACAACTGGCTAGCCACATGCAGAAGATTGAAACTGACCCCTTCCCTACACAATGTACAAAAATCAACTCAAAATATAAGACTCAAATGTAAAACCCAACATTGTAAAAGCCCTGGAAGACAACCTCAGCAAATACCATTTTGGACATGGGAACTGACAAAGATTTCATGATGAAAACGCCACAAGCAATTGCAACAAAAGCAAAAATTGACAAATGGGATCTAATTAAACTTAAGAGCTTCTATTCAGCAAAAGAAACTATTAACAGAGTATATATACATTCTACAGCATGGAGAACATATTTGTAAATTATGCATCTGACAAAGGTGTGATATACAGCATCTGTAAGGAACTTAAATTTACAAAAATAAATAAATAAATAAAAAGTGGGCAAAGGGCTGGGCGTGTGCTGGCTCACGCCTGTAATCTTAGCACTTTGGGAGGCTGAGGCAGGTGGATCACAAGGTCAAGAGATCAAGACCATCCTGGCCAATGTGGTGAAACCCCACCTCTACTAAAAATATAAAAATTAGCTGGATGTGGTGGCAGACGCCTATAATCCCAGCTACTCGGGAGGCAGAGACAGGAGGATAGCTTGAATCAGGGGGCCGAGATTGTGCCACTGCACTCCAGCCTACGACAGAGAAAGACTTTGTCTCAAAAAAAAAAAAAAAAAAAAATGTAGGCAAAGGACACACATACAAATCTTTTCAAAAGAAGAATACATGCAGCCAGCAGGCATATGAAAAACAGCCCAAATCACTGACCATTAGAGAAATGCAAATCAAAACCACAGTGAGATACCATCTCACACCAGTCAGAATGGCCATTATTAAAAAGCCAAAAATAAGATGCTGGTGAGGTTGTGGAGAAAAGGGAGCACTTATACACTGCTGGTGGAGTGTAAATTAGTTCAACCACTGCAGAAAGCAGTATGGTGATTCCTCAGAGAGCTAGAAACAGAACTTACTTTCGACCCTGCAGCCCCATTACTGGTTATATATACTCAAAGGGGTATAAATCATTCTACCATAAAGATATGTTCATTGCAGCACTATTCACAATAGCAAAGACATGGAATCCATCTAAACGCCTATCGATGGCAGACTGGATAAAGAAAATTTGATACATTTACATCGTGGAATACAATGCAACTGTAAGAAAGAATGAGATCCTATCTTTTGCAGGAACATGGTTGGGAGCTGGAGGCCATTATCCTCAGCAAACTAACGCAGGAACAGAAAACCAAGTACTGAATGTTCTCACTTATAAGTGGACGCTAAGTGATGAGAACACTTGGACACAAAGA